ACTAACACTGAAAATTTAGTTTGGGGGCAGTTTTTAGGATTTCTTTTAGAACAAAGTTATTTCTAAAATTCAAGTAGGATCTTCAACAAAACACTTGACTCAACCTTAGTTTTCATATAATTAGTCGTTATCAGCTGGAAGTAATGAACTAACTAAGCAACCTGTTTATGAGAGATAAAGACCACTTCTAAAATGTGAAGTAAAAAAAAAGAATCATGGTTTTCAAAAAAAGTAACCTCAAATGCATTTGATTTATTAACTGAAATACTCTTTTAATCTAAAGCCCTGCTTAAAAGATTTGTTTTTTGCTATTCTTTTAAATTGCTCTGGACTTCATCAATAGGCCCAGCTGTTAAATGTGGGAGCAAATGACAACAAATCCCTGTGCAAACAACTCCTAAGAGTGAGACCCTTTCTTTAGAATTACCAGAGATAGTGGACAGAAGGGGGCATACCAAGTACCTTTCAAAGTTCCATTAAAAATCAGAATAAAAAAAAATTAAATACTCAAAGAAAAATGTGATTCCATCCCTTACTGGATCCTGCTTTGCACATATGTGTACACACACACACACAGGCACCTATATATATTACATTATATAATATATATTTGTTCAATGTATATTTAGATAGTGTAACAGGTTTCTGAAAATGAGAAATAATCCCCACAAATCAAGAAAAAAGTGGGAAAAACTGGTTCCATTACCCAGAGATAATAAGGCAGACTTTAAAAACAGTGTCATAGTAAGTAAGTTTGTAGAACTATAAATACAACTTGAATTTCTTGATTTCACTTATGCAAGATGGTCGTTTTTAAGTCAAAACATACACTTTTTAAAAATGTCACCTCTCTTTTTTTAAGGTGATTTTTCTTTACCAGAAAGCATCAAAAGGACTTTATATATAGTGTTAGCAGAATGGTCTCTCTGAATATCTGAATTCTGTCTTATTTTTCCAAAAATCAAACAACTTTAGCTTATGTATTAGCACTGCTGAATTAGGTCAGGTAACTGCTAACAGCTTGACTTGGAGAAGCATGTACACAGGTAAAAGACTGTCCTTACAACATCTACAAATGTCAATAAAATAGTGTCATTATAGCAAAATTTTGCTTTTTGGGTCTATAATCATTAATAAAACCCGAGCTATCATCTCATATTTCCTATGATTTCCTTTTCAATACACCATTTACCCTCTTTTTAAAAAACATAATTTTTAAAATGTTTTAATATATTTAACTTCACATTTAAAAACCAACATTGGACTTTTTTTTTCTTTTCGGTGCTGATGATATAACCCAGGGCCTCACACATGACATTCAAGAGCTCTACCACTAAGCTGCACCCACCCTGGACTATAATTTATAAATTACTCTGCAAGACAGAAAACCATACCCACAGGACAGTTGTTCATTAATCCCACAAAACACCTTAAATTTCATCTTAATTTAAACCTACATGATAAACATTTTATTCATGAAAACCAACCTATATCCTAAAGGAAATGACTTTTGCTACTTAAACTTATTGAAATGCACTCTTTAACAACTTTACTGATGCCAGAATTAATCTCAAAATTTTGAATGAAAAAAAATCAGTTACAATGATTTTTATGCTCTTCCAGCTATAAATGCTCACATCAAGTATTATTTTATGCCCAAGTGAACAGTCATGAAAAACCTAGGAAATACAGGCCAACTTTATGTTCCCTTTCCCTCTTCCTAGGACTTCAATTTCCACCTTTTATGGAAAGGAAATAAACAACCAACTTCCTGTTCAATCACTAGCTTACAACCAGTCTTTTACACATCACAGAACACAACCCTCCTCCTCCCTTTACTTCTCTCAAATGTCTCTTATCTTAATTTAAACTTGTTGAAATATGAGACTGTTTTACCACACTAATGCTTTTCTATGGAATTTATCTTATTTCAACATTAAAGAATGGAAGAAACATTAATTCCCTCTTTTTTAATTCCTAAAATATTTAAATTATTTATATAATGAAGACAACACACACAAGTGAAAAGTTGATTTGCTAAATTAAAAAATTCAAATCTATAGGAATGTTTTAATTTTCTGTTCTTACTCTTGTACACAACTAGAAAAAGCGTCTCCCACATTACTCCCTTCTAATTACATAAAAAAACAGCTAAAATGGATATCAATTAAAAAGATTACCTTTTAAAAAAAGCTAAATATTACTTTAACCCTATATTTTCCTTTAAAAATACGATGCCTTGGCAAAACTAAGTTAGATGAATTCTTTTGTGCTTGGATGAACAACAGGAAAGCAAAGCCTCCAGGCCTTTGGGGAAGAACCTTGTCCCTGCAGCCCTGCTCTGATGTGCTTGGGAGATAAGGCTCCATAGAGACACTTAAGGAAAGGCCTGTTCACATTTGAATTTCTGCATTCCTCAAGAACAATTCATGGCAATAACTAACTTTGCAGAAGAGCTACATGAAAGCTTTGGCCAATGAATGAGGGTCATCTGCTCTTTATCACAAGGGTAAACCTCATCCTGGCCAGTTTCTAACCTTTTAACCCTGTGAATTCCTAATTTACACATGAATAATGGAATTCTTGCCTAGAGTGCAACTTTCAGCTTCTAGTTCCTAAGTTTAGAAACCAAGATTGGATTGCCTGTGTGTTAAAAATCTAAAACTTGCACAAATTAAAGCTTTAAATTTCAGGTACTGTACTATTACATTTCTGAACCAAAAGATATGCTGGCTTACAAAATCCCTAAGCAAATAAAAAGCATATACATGTACCCTACTGTTATCAATGACTGGGAGAATCAGCTCCAAAAGTAAAAACAAAAACAGAATGTCCACTTAATGCCTATTCTCCTTCTGTTTACTCCAGATAACATCTTTAGAAATCAAAACTAACTGATAATTCAGGATCTCTAAGAAATTTCATATTTCTAATGAAGAATCTAAATCCACTATACATTTTGTATTTTAAATTCATAATACTGACTGAATTTTCCTAGCAAAACACCTCCTCAAGGTTAAATAAAATATGTGCATCTGAAGAACATGGTCCCTAACTGATTACAGTTGGAAACTGTAATATAGCAAAGCAATGTTATAGTAGTTTCATTGGAAAAGTTTTTGGTCCTTATAATATGAAGTGACCTTTACCATAATACCCTTCAAAATGATTTACCTCTAATTACTTATTATTAGTGATAATTTTATAAAGATACAAAAATCTAAAGATTTTAAAAGCTAGTACTTGTGTGTGTGTGTGTGTGTGTGTGTGTGCGCGCGCGCGCGCTGAGTCTTGAAGTCAGTGTTTCATGTATGCTAAGCACATGCTCTACCACAGAGGTATATCTCCAGCCTCTAGTACTAATGTATATTTGTTACATCCATCATACATCTTTCAGGCTTTGTTTATGAAATCAGACAGCTCTGTGTGCTTTCAAAGGTGTTCCTGGGAGCCCTAGGATTCGGTCAGGCTTCTCATGAGGTCCTACAAAAGTGTGATGGTGACAAATGCTTCATCTTTTCCTGCCATTGCCCACCCCCTCAACTTCCAACCTCTTCCCCCAAAGGTAATACAAGTTACAGTTCCTGAGTATGAAAACCCAAGATTCCACAAACCTGAAAAGGTGGAAAAACCAGAATCCTATAGAATAATTTTACATTAGAGAAAACTTAAATGAACTGATAAAAGCACTATCTTGTGAATAGTACTGCACAGAAAAACCATTAATCAATGAAAACAATGTTTTTCATTATTATTTTAATGGATAATTCCATATATAAAAATAATGGATAATTCCAGTGATTAAAAAAAAAAGACCAGAAAGAAGGTAAGTATATCAGAAATCCTCTCAGGTTTATGTTCTTCTTTGGCAGGAGTGGGGTGGGGCCAGATTTAGAAACTTCTAATTTTCTGCCATTTTTCAACATAAAAATCATTTTTTGTAAAGTATTTTCTACAATCATTGTACAAAATAAATTAATAATTACTAACATGAGGATAGCATAATTATGGCCGAGTTACTAGAATTAAATTTATCTTGGAAAGTCCTGCCACTAGCCTAAGTTCCAATTATAAAGACCTTGAAAAGACTATTGCCAAAAGATTGCACCTTATCTCAAGAATACCCTCTTTACCTGTTGTTCATTTTATAAACAATCAATTTATAGGTACAGTACAAAATCCATCTTTTGTTGATTAACAAAATCACATAACTAGAATACCTGTAATCCTATTTTTAAGATACAATTTTGTTTTCCAATATTGAAATAGTGTTTGATGACCTGAAGAGGTAGCAACCTCAGTGGAAGCAGAGTTCCCTACCTGTCCTGAGCCAATCATTACACTCAAGTTACCAGGTCAACCACTAAGCAATGGATCATTTGGACAAATGGCTGCTCTGATGGGGTTAATACAAAGGAAATCATTAGACAGCAAACTTTATGACAACTGGGGGGAAAAAATAAGCAGATCTGGTTTAAGTCCATTAGGCATAATATGGAAATGGCCTTAATCTCTTTCCCTCCCAGCAGGAAAACAGGCATACTTCAAAGGCTTGAGAGTTACTGACCAATGCCCTGCCTTACAATTAAAAAGCAACATGGGTGATCTAAAAAGCAGTCAGAGAAATAGAAGGTTGAGCTATAAGAAAGATTTAGCACTCAAGGGTCATCTACAAAGCAGGTTTACTTGTGATTGTTTTTATTTAATTGCTAATTTCTAAAAGATGAAATTTTAGAACAAACTTTTATTATGTTGGCCAAACTTACACATCAAATTCTTACAGGGCGAACATTTGAAATTTATATAAAGTCACCTCTATCAGGTTTTATATCACTTGTGTTCTAAACCTAATGACTTCTGTTTTCAAATTTATGTATTTTTTTGCATTTTTGCCTTTATTTCCAATTTCTTCATGTATGAATTTTAGTATTATACTCATAAATCAAGAAATCAAAATGTAGTAACAAAAAATGTCAACAACCAAAATCTTAAACACTTACTTGATAAGGTAAGATGAGCTTTTTGACTAAGAATGGCTCCATATTTGTTCATTGCCAAGCACTGATAAAATCCTTCATCGGACTGCTCTCCTCTCCTGCCTTCCACCTCACTGATGTATAAAGAGCCGTTAGAAAGAACCTGGATCCGTTTATTTTCAGATACTTTTGCTCCATTTTTCAACCATGTGACCTTAATAGGAACTTCTCCATGAGCCTGGCAATCTAAAATGACTGGGTCCTTTCTTGTGACAGTTACATCCTGTGGTTCTTTTATAAAAAACAGTTCGCTAATGCACCACACTCCTATAAGGAAAAAAGGAGAAAGGTATATCCAGAATTATAGGTATAAATTCATTTAACACGCAACTGTAAAACACATATTCAGGGTATAAGACAAAGTTTAACTGACCATATTATTTAACTTACAAGCACTTTAATAAACCAACCTAAGTTTTAGCAAATCTTTCAACAAATCAGAGAAATCACCCTGCAACATTTACACTAAAAGTACAAAAGAAGATTCCAATAACTTCTATGCCTTATAAGAATTCTGTTCTCAAGTTCCTTGCTAGAGTTTCAAAATCATCAGGAAAACTCATGAGCACAAGCTGTTTGCTACTTTTACAAGCTTGTCAAAAAGATCTTGAACAGAGTAAGTCGTAAAAGTCTAATTTTACAAGAAATCATTAGCAAAACTCCAACTCTGTGAACAAGCAAGTTTATTTCCTTGTCCCTTGAAGTGTTTTTGGAACCCTTGGCACCTACTCCTTTGGGAGGAGCGTTTATCTTTTGTGACAAATTACAAGTTTGCATTTTTCTATCTGCCCTTTTACAGCAGGGATTGTCTCCTCTTCTTGAAAGAAATCCATTTACTTAATTTCTGCAGAGCCAGCTAGGTATTTAAAGGACAAACAATAGACTTTGAAAAGTTGGTAACTCTTGCTGCTTGTACTCAGTGGGTGATCGGATTAGGAAACTTTTATTTCACTTTTTTAGAACTACCAACTGTTGGAAAAAATGCGTGACTAATTGGTCCTTACTGTCTAATAGGGATAGGAGATTGCTTAATCAACCAATACACATTTTTATCAGAGCAGAGGAAATGCTTTATCCTAAGCATACACATCGCCCCTGGCCCCAGCTAGGATAAAGCACTGGATGACCACTAATACTTTGTTACCTCCTGCTTTCAGAGCAAAGAGCCAGCCAAAGTCTTGCATATTGATTGGAGATAATAGTGAGTTAGGGGCTGGAGTTGGGGTGTGAGTTCCATCTTTCTCCTTGTCATTTTGAATCCATGATTGCAAAGCCTCAGGAATGATTTCTCTGTTTCTGATCAAGGCAGATCCTCAGAAACCCCATGCTCCGGGCTCCCGACTTCCCCTAAAGTATGCCCAGGGCGGCCAAAGTCACCCTTACAACCTCGCGCTGCGCTGACCACTCCGGAAGGCGCCCATTGTGTTTCTGAGCCACATCTGACTTTGATCCTTTTCTCACGCGAACTGAAATTAATTCCTCTAGAAAAAAACTAAACTCCAGCCTTTGTAAATAAACAAATAAAAATCCATTCCCCTTAAAACCTCTCTCCTACACTCCGCCTTCCTCCCCAGCCACTACACTTTTTACTCTCCCTGAGGAAACCAACAACGAAGCAAAAAAGAAAAAGGAGTTCACCCAAATTTGTGCAAGACTAACCCTGAAGTTGGAGGAACCCTCAAATCCGTACACACCTCGGGTCCTGCCCCAAATATCTAAAGTCAGGAAATAAATTCTATTTAGGCACTTTCCTTCCCAGCTTCGGGTACACTTCTCCCGGTCCCTCGGGGGCCAAGCAACTTTCAACCTTTCTCTTTGCAATTCCGGCCTCCCATCTCCTGGCTTGACTTGGACCCGGAAAACTGGGGGCAATGGAGTGTGGACGTGGGCACTGAGTTCCCTTATTCCCTTCCCCAGCCCTGAAACGCGGGGGAACCCCCACTGCAAACACCAGAAGCCGCGCGGAACCGCGGCGCCCCCTGCGCGGCGAGGCTGCCACTAAGGAAACAATATAAATAAAGCCACGTGCGGCCGCCGCGGCCCCGGCGGGCGGCGCGGAGTCCCGGCTGGCCGCGGAGGCGGGGACACGGCCGGAGCCGGGACAATGGCGCGAGAAGGAAGGGACGAGAGTGGACAGCGGCCGCTATGGCCCTGCAGCCTGTAGCCGAGGGAGCTCGGCAACAGAGGACGTGGGCGGGGAGAGGCTCCCACCGTTATGCCCACGCCCGGCAGAGCCTGCGGTCACCCGAGCCTCTAGCCCGTGGCTCCGGACAGGCCGCAGAAAGGGGACAGGGGCCGGTGGTCAGCGCCACCACGGAGGACTCCGCTACTCTCCCCCAACGCCCCCAGTTACCTCCCTCTCCATCCCACTCGCTCCTGCTCCCTCCCCACAGTCGGGGTGAGGGGAACCGCAGAAGAAAGCGCGCCCACCTGGAAAGGGGCCGAGGAGCAGCAGGAACAGGAGCGCGCGGAACGGCATCCCCGGCGGCCGCGGCCGGGCGAGGGGTCGTACTGAAGGCGCCATTCAGCAGGGCTACACGGGCATGCTCCCCGGCTGCCCCACAGCCGCTGTCCGCCTGTCGCCCCCGCCTCCGGGCGCTCCCAGCGCCGCGGCTGCACGCACACAGCCTGGGTTTCCCGCTCCCGCACCCGCGTGGCGTGGCGCGGCTGGGCGCTGTGGTGGCGACTCTGGCGCGCGGACACTCGCTCGCGCGAGGCAGGGGGCCTGAGAGTCCGGCCTGGGGGCGGAGTGAGGCGGCGGCTGGAGAGGGCGGGGGCGGCGGAGTGGACAGCGCCGCTACTGCCGGCCTGGGGACTACTTTCTACATCTGGCCCCTGGTCGGGGGACCAGGAGGTCGGCGCGGCCGGCGGAGGGAGACGCCGGGACGGGGCCGGGAGCGGCCAGGTCGCGGCCCCAGGGAGAGGGGGCGGGCCCCGCTGGACAATGCACCTGGGGGTCAAGCCCCGGCTGAGGGTCCCGGCCCGTGCCCCCGCCCCCTCTGCCTCTGCGCCACCGTCGACGACAGAGCCACAAAGGCCACAAGCCTCCAGCCCAGCCAGCCCCCAGGGCCCCTCTCCCGCCGGCTAGTTTAGGATTGGGACGGAGGAGGCGGGGGCTGGGGGGGATGGTGTTGAGAGACGTGGAAAGGCCGGAGACTTCTCCCCTGATGGCCCCTGCCCATCCCCCTCCTTCTCTCACCCGCCGAGGCCCTGTGGAGGGAAATCTATTTCCCACTTCGGAGATTTGTCAGCTCAACTGGAGGCATCTCCGGGCGATAAGCCCCCACATTCTAGGGTCGTTCTTATCCTCCCTGACCCTATCAGATGCAGCACTAGCTTAAAAACCTTTCTGAAGAGTGCCTGAAATGAACAATTACCTTTAGGAGAGACGTTTTATGATCTCTTCCTCAAGTTAGTCAAGTTCTTTAATTTGTAAGAACTATGCGCACAAAAGGCCCTGTCCTTAGAGTCGAGGAGAGATCAGGGGATTTCCAGATTCTCCAAGATTGCTGTGGGAGACCGGGCTTTGATAGATTACCTGGTCAGAAGTTAGGCTGACTAGGAAAAACACAAGTGATGTGAATTTGTTCACAGCTCCTAAAATTAATTAAGGATAAAAAGAGGAGTTGAAACATACACTTAAAAGAGTGTAATCAGATTGCTTAATGTGTGTGGATCATAGAGAGCGTTTACATGTGGATTAGCATTTGCTAATCCAAAACTAAATCTGTGGCACATGATGAGGGCACAGGCTAAAAGCTAGCTTTAATGAGAGCTGCTGACAGAAATCTAGCTTTTGTCACTAAGGCATCCACATGCTAACTGCCTTTAGCATGTTCCACAGATCCCCCTGATGAAGAAGGGAGGAAATGAACAGTCTTAAAACATCTGCCAGGATGGCAACACTACCTTCCCTCAAAGTTGTTATAACAAGGATCTGTCTATTTAGCATTTTCAGTTTCAAGATTTGTAAAACAGCAAAACCCTTAGCTGTACTGCTTTCAAACCTCTCTTACAATTTAGATGAGTTTGTACTATTTTTAAGCATTAGAATAAAGGTTCATGGAAGTGGGAAAATGTTTAGAGAAAGAAAATGAAACAATTGCAAAGATGTTTTAAATATATGATCATTCAAATTTACACAAAATGATACCCATAACTATTTGTTGATTTGTTGTTGAAGTAGGTTTGGGTTTTTTTGTTTGTTTGTTTGTTTTTTTAATTGTATGACATTCTCTCTGGGCTCTTCCTTCTCTTAGGTCCCTTTCAATTGACCCTAAGTGCTCATATTTCCTGGATAAGAATTGCTAATAAGATGCTTTTATGCCGTCTTTCTTGAATAAATCAGAAGAGTAAAATATGGGGGAGGGGATAGATACCTTAAGAGGCAGGGGAATACTTTCTTTTTAACTGTCACTTTGCCTTTTAACATTTTAATCATAATTAATCGATTCTTATAAGATGGCTTTAGACCATGAGTTACACTGGGGAAGAATATTTGGATTGCATCAAAATGAAGTGAGCTAATATAATAAGATTAAACAATCGCATGGAACTTTTCTGGTATATATTTACTGTCCCACGATGGGTATCAGTAGACGTACTCTGGTGATAATTACAATATTGTACAAATTCACTGCGTACCCATATTGTACAAATTCACTGCACACCCAAAGCTTTCATTATATACTCATTCATTTGATTGTCACAGTGACCCAGTGAGGTAAGTAGAGATATTGTTATTTAAATCTCCATTTTAAGCTGAAGAAACTGAGACGTACCCAACATTACTCATTAATAAGTGGTACAGGAAAACAGCCTTTAATTTAAACTCTCCCCACCTCACATACTGGGAATTGAAGCCAGGGGGCTCTACCACTGAATTACACCCCCATCCCTTTTTACTCTTTATTTTGAGACAGGGTCTCCCTAAGCTACTGAGGCCAGACTTGAACTTGTGATTCACCTGCTCCAGCCTCTCAAATTATTGGGATTACATTTGTGCAACACCCACGCCTGGCTCTGTATTTTTATTAAACATCTGTTCCTGTTGGCTTCAGAACTTATAATACATATCTTTGAGTAACAGTACTTACCTTCTCAGACACTTAGATTTTTCTCTTACGTATTATACTTGCCTTATATCTAGGTGATATAGCTGTTTAAAAGCTTGTTATCTAGTTCTTGTGAATGCCCCATAATTTCCATTCAGCACAGTTCTTTGCATATAGTAACACTGCAGTAGTTAAAAGCTTGGTTTTTGTTTTCTAGCACACTGGAGTTCAAATTTCAGTGTTGCATAAACACGTTACTCATGCTCTCAAACCTAATCTATTTAATGGAAATAAGTATAAAACCAATAGGCTGCTGTGCTGTAATATGATGCATGGAAAATACCTAGTACATAGCTCTATAAATAATTGCCATTATTATTTAGTAAGTAAATATTCCCACTAGTAACAAATCTTTGTCCTTTCAGGGTTGGCTTTATTTTGAAAAATTCAAGTTTTTAATAGTCAAATCTGACAAATTTGTTTGGTGATTATGCTGATAGTGATTCTAATGACCTCTTTCAAGAGTTCCTAAGCTGGTATGAAAGACATAAAAAGTGCCTGGGTGTCTAACCTCCCAAAACTGCATCCTTGGAAGATAAATTTCACTGAGAAAAAACAACTACCTAAGCCCTATTTTGCTTTCATATTCTAAAAGGGCAATCATTTTCCACCTGGAAAGAGTTGCACCTATATTTTAAAAAGAACTAAAATCTAAGAGAAGGTTGAAAGGGGAAACAAATCAAATTTCTTTAATAAATTCAAGTCCTCTGGCCCAACTTCAGTGAAAATAAATCATATAAATTTACCATTAAATTATGAAGCTGTACTGAGTAGTCTTCAAGCCCTCTGACCTCTAAACATTAACTGGTTCTATGGAATCATGGGACCATTTGGAGAAGATTATGAATCATTGAGTATGGCAAAAAGCAATACAAGTCTGCTTTTTAAAATGAGTATCTACTGAGCTTTTCCTATGTAGGTTGGAAGACCAGACCTAATGAGGTTTCCATGACATGATCATTACAAATCATAAAATTGCTCACTGATCAGCTTAATATTTGTCAGTAGAAACATTATGAAATGAGTTATGTTAAAAGTGGTTGTAATAATTGGGATTGTGAGATGATGCAGCTACTAAGAAAAAAATAGCCTGGCACCATGGCGCAAACCTGTGATATCAGTAACTTGAGAGGCTGAGATGGGAAGATTGCAAGTTAGCAAGACCCTGTCTCAGAAAAAAAAGGACAGAGAGGGAGAGGGGCAAAGAAAAGAGAAGAGAAGGGGAGGGAAGGAGAGGTCTGAGGAGGTAGCTCAATGGTTCAATCTCCAATATAGGGATTGAGAGATTAAGAATTGTGAATTGTAGTGACACACACCTCTAATCCCAGCTATTTGGGAGGTTCAGGCTAGCCTGAGCAATTTAGCGAGATCTTGTCCCCAAAATAAAAAGGTCTGGGGAATATAGATGAGTGGTAGAGCATTTGTCTAGCACATGTGAGGCCCTGGGTTTAATCCCCAGTATTACAAAAAACAACAACAAAAATTAAAAACAGCACTACCATATGATCCAGGAATCCAGGGCAAAAAGTCAATAAAATTGAAAACAGGCTCTTAAAAAGATATTTGCATACCCATGTCCATTTCAACATTATTTACAATAAACAAGAAATTAAAGTAATCTAAATGTTCATCAAGGGATTGATGGACATTAAAGAATATTCTTCAGCCTTAAAGAATAATATAGAATATTAAATGTGAATATATTTTATTTTGGAATGTTATTAAGCTTAAAAATGATAAAAGTAATTTGTAACCCTGGGTGAACTTTGAGGCAAACCCACACCGTAACTGAGACCTTTCCAAATCTTTTTTTTTTTTTTTTTAATTGCTCCTGGTGAACCTAGGGCACTAAACTTCATCACCAGACCTTTAAAAAAATTTTTTTGAGATAAGCCAGTCCTAAGAAATGACAAATACTGCACAATTCTGCTTATATGAGGTATCTAAAGTAATCAAACTCATAAAAACAGAAAATAGAATATTGGTTACCAAGGACTAGAGGGTTGGGGGAAAACTGAAAGTTGTTCAATAGGTATAGAATTTCAGTAAGGCAAGATGAAAAAGCATCTATTGTAAAATCTGTTGTAAAACACTGTGACATAGGTAATAATATTGTAGTGCACACTTAAAAATTATTAAATTTATGCTTGTATGTTACTTATAAATGCATAGGAAAGGCAGTGATAATGAAGAGGCCAAAGCCCATGTTGGCTACAAATATTTAGATCACATAGGTGTAGGGATACAGAAAAACAAACTTACCTTGATTTCAACAAGACATTTGATCACCACATCTCATAATATTCTTGTGCATTAAACAAAGAAATGTTGGTTGGTTATGAAAGGGATTATGCAAGATAATATTTGGTTGAAGCTTCCATTCACTCTCACTCTACAGCTCCCACTGCCAAGTTTTCCTCTGAAATCATTAAAAAAAAAAAAATCT